ATTACAGAAAATGAGCGTACAGTATAGTAAGTTAAAACAAATCCTCCACATTGACTGGAAGGACATATTTATGAGAGGAGTTAATCATAGATGTTTTTTAACTGTAGCAAAATTTTAAAAACTTTAAATGAGAACCTCGTCTCTGAAAGTGAGAATTCAAGATCTAGTTTATTTGAAGTTTTTTGGGAGAAAAAAAATTAGATTCAATTTCTTGCATAATGCGAAAACAATTTATTAAAGCAAGACAGAAATGCCCATAAATTAATTCTGGAAAAATTCTTCAAAAACGACATCTGCTTAGATTACATCTGTGGTCAGTAACTCCTTTCCCCTGTTCTAAGGAAAGTATCAAATCAAAAAATAATTGTTGTTACAGGTTGAGCCTTGATACAAGTTTTAATGAAGTAAAATTTGATTAGACGGTGCAAAACACAATTAAATGTGCAAATGTAATTAAAGTATGAAACATGAAACTGTGATGTCAGAAAATAGCTATGGATTATAAGATACACATTTCTCTAAAAATCAACAGAACTGCTTTTTGTAAAAATCTGGATGCACTCCTGACTCATTCAGGCTCAGTTAATATATGTGCTTTCTAGTTGTTTATTTCCTACCTACTTTCATCATGCCAGGTGATACATTCACCATTACTCGGGCTGATTTGTTTCTAAGTAACGTGGCGCCAATAACTAAAGAATGACAAAAAACAAGAACAGGACTTCCAGGAAGCAAATACTAAATACAAGACAGTGAAAGAAAGCAGATCTTTTGTGATATGTTCAAAGTCAGCAAAAGAATAGGTTGCAAAAGAATTGAGGTGGTATTCTATTCCTTTACATTTGAAACATGTCCTTATTAATTATTGAGAAGAAGAAGAAAGAGTAATGTACTGGTGTTGTGGATGATATAAGCTGGGTAGAAAGAGACTACACAGAAGATGCAGAGTAGCTGAAAAAGAGAAATAAACAGATTAAGTAAGCTTGGAGCAAGATAGCAGATGGAGTCTATTGTGGAGAAGTGTGAATTTATTCACTTTGGTCATAAATATAGAAAAGCTGTTGCTTCTTAAAGTTATGATACTTGTAAATGTTGACAGACTCAGGTACACTTATACAAGACCAAGTTAGTACACATGTACAGCACACAATTAGGAAGGGAATTCATTTTTTAATTGAATCAAGGAATTTGGACTTCACTGGTTGGACCAGCATTTATTGCCCGTTTGTAATTCCTTTGAGAAATTAGCTGCCTTCTCGAAATGCTGCAGTCCAATTGGTGTAGGTGCACCCACAATGCTGTTAGAAAGGGAATAATTACACCTAATTGTACATATTTGTATTTGCCTGTCACTTACATTAGCTCACGCTTTAGCCACATCAATTTTAAGATTTGCATCTTGTTTAAAACTCCATCATGACTCATCTTAATAACCCTCCTTCAAATCTGGCCTTTTGCATAGCTGCAATTTCCTTGACTCCACCATTAAGGTTGTGGATTCAAGTACCCAGTACCTAATCTCAGGAATTCCCTCCATTTCTCTATATGTCTCTTCATAAAATTACCTTTTGATTAAGTTTTTGCTTACATATCCTAACATAACTTAATGCATCAAATTTTATTTGATGATAATTCCTATGTAGCAACTTGGGACCTTTTACTTTGATTAAAGGCACCATACATACGTCAACATGCATGCAGTCACTGTAAAATTTGTAATCCTGAAATTAAATCAAAATGCAGTTTTATCAGAGAATTAGCATAAGAATAGAAACCTTATTAAATTTCAATTTCCAACAATTCTCTTCAACTTTATTATATTACTTTTCCAACAAAACTGGTGGCAATGTTAAGGTTTATTTCAGAAATCTAATTTTGAATAAATGTTGAGACAGGAGAATGAAAGGTGGCTCAACTTTAAAACATTCACAATCTTCAAATATTTTTTTCTGTTGCAGTTGTGTCCACACCACAGACTAACAGCTGCATTCCATAATATTTGCAAATCAAAACAGCAAAATGATAACAACCAGATAATGTTATTTGTAATGAGAATTAATGATAAACGTTGGTCAGGATACTGGGAATAACTAACTCTCCAGTTTACCCTCAAAATAAATCCACCAAAACGGCAGACAGGAATTCAGTTTGACGTTTCATCCAAAAGTTGGCATCTCCAACAGTGTAATACAGTATACATTGCACTGACGTCTCAACTTTGATTTCTGCACTCAAGACCTTAGGTGGGTTTTGAATCGGGAACTCTTGTCATTGAGAGGCGAGTAGTCAGATAGAAGACCAAGCAGCATCATAGGAGCAGAGAGGCTGACGTTTCGGGCCTAGGCCCTTCATCAGAAAAGGGGGAGGGGAAGGGGGTTTTGAAATAAATAGGGAGAGAGTGGGAGGCGGATAGAAGAGGGATAGAGGAGAGGATAGGTGGAGAGGAAACAAACAGGTCGAAGAGGCGGGGATGGAGCCAGGAAAGGTGAGTGTAGGTAAGGAGTTAGCCAACTCTCCGACACCTCCTCCTACTGCCCCCTTGATCATGACCCCACCCCTGAGCACCAAACCATCATCTCGCAAACCATCCACAACCTCATCACCTCAGGTGACCTCCCACCCACGGCCTCCAACCTCATCGTTCCCCAACCTCGCACTGCCCGCTTCTATCTCCTTCCCAAAATCCACAAACCTGAATGCCCTGGTCGACCCATTGTCTCCGCCTGCTCCTGCCCCACCGAACTGATCTCCAACTATCTAGACTCCATTTTCTCCCCCTTGGTCCAGGAACTCCCTACCTATGTCCGTGACACCACCCACGCCCTCCACCTCCTCCAGAACTTCCAATTCCCCGGTCCCCAACACCTCATCTTTACCATGGATGTCCAGTCCCTCTACACCTGCATTCCCCATGCAGATGGCCTTAAGGCCCTCCGCTTCTTCCTGTCCCGCAGGCCCGACCAGTCCCCCTCCACTGATACCCTCATCCGCTTAGCCGAACTCGTCCTCACACTCAACAACTTCTCTTTCAATTCCTCCCACTTCCTACAGACAAAGGGGGTAGCCATGGGTACCCGCATGGGCCCAAGCTACGCCTGCCTCTTTGTAGGTTACGTGGAACAATCCCTCTTCCGTACCTACACCGGCCCTAAACCCCACCTCTTCCTCCATTACATTGATGACTGTATCAGCGCCGCCTCGTGCTCCCACGAGGAGCTCGAACAGTTCATACACTTCACTAACACCTTCCACCCCAACCTTAAGTTTACCTGGACCATCTCTAACACTTCTCTCCCCTTCCTGGACCTCTCTGTCCCCATATCGGGCAACCACCTAGAAACCGATATTCATTTCAAGCCCACCGACTCCCACAGCTACCTAGAATACTCCTCCTCCCACCCACCTTCCTGCAAAAATGCTATCCCCTATTCCCAATTCCTTCGCCTCCGCCGCATCTGCTCCCAGGATGAGGCATTCCACTCCCGTACATCTCAGTTGTCCTCGTTTTTCAAGGACCGTAACTTCCCCTCCTCGGTGGTCGAGAACGCCCTCAACCGTGTCTCCCACATCTCCCGCACCTCATCCCTCACACCCCGTCCACGCAATAAAAACCAAAAAAGAATCCCCCTCGTCCTCACGTACCACCCCACCAACCTCCGGATCCAACGCATCATCCTCCGACACTTCCGCCATCTGCAATCCGACCCCACCACCAAAGACATCTTTCCCTCCCCACCCTTATCTGCTTTCCGGAGGGACAACTCTCTCCGTGACTCCCTTGTCCGCTCCACACTCCCCTCCAGCTCCACCACACCCGGCACTTTTCCCTGCAACCGCAGGAAGTGCTACACCTGCCCCCATACCTCCTCCCTCACCCCCATCCCAGGCCCCAAGAAGACTTTCCACATCAAGCAGATGTTCACCTGCACATCTGCCAATGTGGTATACTGCATCCGCTGTACCCGGTGTGGCTTCCTCTACATCGGGGAAACCAAGCGGAGACTCGGGGACCGCTTTGCAGAACACCTACGCTCGGTTCGCAACAAACAACTGCACCTCCCAGTCGCGAACCATTTCAACTCCCCCTCCCATTCCTCAGACAACATGTCCATCCTGGGCCTCCTGCAGTGCCACAACGATGCCACCCGAAGGTTGCAGGAACAGCAACTCATATTCCGCTTGGGAACCCTGCAGCCCAATGGTATCAATGTGGATTTCACAAGTTTCAAAATCTCCCCTCCCCCCACCGCATCCCAAAACCAGTCCAGCTCGTCCCTGCCTCCCTAACCTGTTCTTCCTCCCACCTATCCCCTCCTCCCACCTCAAGCCGCACCTCCATCTCCTACCGACCAACCTCATCCCGCCCCCTTGACCTGTCCGTCCTCCCTGGACTGACCTATCCCCTTCCTAACTCCCTACCTACACTCACCTTTCCTGGCTCCATCCCCGCCTCTTCGACCTGTTTGTTTCCTCTCCACCTATCCTCTCCTCTATCCCCCTCCCACTCTCTCCCTATTTATTTCAAAACCGCCTTCCCCTCCCCCTTTTCTGATGAAGGGTCTAGGCCCGAAACGTCAGCCTCTCTGCTCTTATGATGCTGCTTGGCCTGCTGTGTTCATCCAGCCCTGCACCTTGTTGTCTCGGATTCTCCAGCATCTGCAGTTCCTACTATCTCTAGTCAGATAGAAGATCTTTTATAGCAGTACGGCGACTTCTGCGATACAAATTCAACACGAACAGTGCTGTCCAGACAATTTTTTCCCGAAGAATTTATGTAAACTCTTCGTTCCTTTGAATGTGCAACACAGACATTTAACAGGAGGACAGTGAACATATTTACAGCTGACGACATTCCATCGAAAGATAAGCTTTCCTGGATAAACGCATTGGGAAAATTAATTAAGTTAAACTAAAAGCCTCACTAAAAGCACTCATTAGAGTCAGACACCTGCGTTTTAATTGAAGCCCCAGTACAGAAGTTCGAACACTAACTAACGCACCTATTATGTTGTTCTTTGAACGCGGTGGTCAAACTCTGGATCGGCGTCATGGAAACCAGCACCAACTCTTCTTTTCGACAGTTTCGGGTTAATTCCTTGAGGCGTGCTGTTAGTTCAGGAACACACTCGTAGCTGGCCGCCATCTTACCCCCCGCAGCGATTGACGTCCTGACGCAGAAACGTGCGCGCACCCCAGCGCCGAGGAAACGAGACGCGGAGGGGGTGGAGTTTGAACAGCCAGAGACTCCGTGAAGAATTAAAGGACCATCAAAGACAAGCAGCTCAACAACCAGTGATCGCCAATTAGATCATTGCGCTTATTCTGGTGAGGGGGAGGGCATAACCAAACGGCTAACGTGTGGCGCAGCGGCGCTGCCTGTCTTTGTACAGGCCCAAGTTGTTATCGAACCGGTGGTTCGCCATCCAGAGAGTCGCATGCAAGAGTCTTCGGGTTGTGGTTGTAGTCACTTCGTAACGTTCATTTGATGCTAGCAGTACAATATCCATCCCCACCCCAACCCCAGACTGTACTTAGTTTTAATCAACCTGTTCAGATATGTTATGAATACAACTTCTGGAGCAGATAGGACTTGAACCCAGGTCTTTACCACTGCACCACAAGACCCCCGGCAGCAGTCAACCTGAATGCTCCAGTGTACATTCAGTCTTAACCCCGCATAGCTGAAAGTCATGCATTTAGCAGCAGTCTCCCAACAAAGGCTTCATGTGGCACTGTGATTGTGTCCCTACCTCTGAGCCAGGAGGCCTGCGTTCAAGTCCCACCTGCTTCAGAGATGTGCAGTTACCGCTCTGAACTGGTTGGTCAGAAAAATATCTGTCTTCTCCACACGCAAACTGAAGGTGCAACACCTCATATTCCACCTCAGCAGCCTACAGCCCAATGACCTAAACATAGAATTTACCAGTTTTAAAATCTCCCCACCCCTGGCCTTATCCCATGTCCAACCTTCTCTCTCATCCCTGCCTCCTTGACCTGACAAAACTTGTCCATTATCTGCGCTACCCTTTCCACTGACCAATCCGCACTACCTCCTACCTATCACCACCCCAACCACCTTTCCTCCGCTCCACCCATCCTCCCTCCTGCCCCCTTGACCCAACACAACCTGTCCATCTCCTCTCTCACCTATCCACCACTCCCTACCTGCATTCATCTATCACCATCCCACCTACCTTCCCCAGCCCCACCCCTCTCTATCTATTTCCCAGCTCCCTCCCCCCTCCCCATTTCTGAAGAAGGATCCCAACCCAAAACCAACTTTCCTGCTTCTCTGATGCTGCCTGGCCTGCTGTGTTCCTCCAGCTCCACACTGTGTTGTCGGTGGTTTGTACTGCTGTTTGAAGTTACTGAAAGTCCAAGTGCTGAAGGAATTGGTTTTGATTTCAAGAATTCTGATCAGATTGTTTACTCCCCCCTTGGGTTGCAGCTTGACTGAGCTTTTGAAATAACGAAGAGGATTGATGAGGTAAACGTGATCTATTTGGACTCCAGTAAGGTGTTCGACAAGGTTCCTCATGGTAGACTGGTTAGCAAGGTTAGATCACATGGAATACAAGAAGTAGCCATTTAGATATAGAAGCGGCTCGAAGGTGGAAGACAGAGGGTGGTGGGATAATGACTGGGATAAGGAGCAGAGCAGGATAAGCCCTTAGAAGAGAGAGGAGGAGAGGAAGAAAAATCCTTACCAAAAGGCCAAATTGACGAGAGATTTTCCGGGAGCAATCCTTTCCATCTCAGTCTCAGTGGGAAAGAGTGCTTTGTGTGCTTCACCAATTAAATTGCCACTTATTTCAAGCACTCAGCAAAGTGAAGATGAAATTGCCAATGAAATTGAGGAACAAATTTGTAAGGAGATTTTGGTTATCTGTAAGAATAATAGCATGGTTATGGTAGGGGATTTTAACTTTCCAAATATAGACTGGGACTGCTATAGTGTTAAGGGCTTCAATAGAGTGGCATTTGTTAAATGTGTACAAGAAAATTTTCTGATTCTGTATCTAGGTGTACCTGCTAGAGAAGGTGTAAAACTTGACCTACTCTTGGGAACTAAGGCAGGGCAGGTGACTGAGGTGTCAGTGAAGGAGCACTTTTGGGCCAGTGATGAGAGTTCTATTAGTTTTAAGATAGTGATGGAAAAGGATAGACTGGATCTAAAATTTGAAGTTATAAATTGGAGTAAGGCCAATTTTGACGGTATTAGGCAAGGACTTTCAAAAGTTGATTGGGGGCGGATGTTCATACGTAAAGGGATGGCTGGAAAATTGGAAGCCTTCAAAAATGAGGTATCGAGAGTCCAGAGACAGTATGTTCCTGTTAGGATGAAGGGCAAGGCTGGTAGCTGTAGGGAATGCTGGATGACTAGAGAAATTGAGGTTTTGGTCAAGAAAAAGAAGGAAGCATATGTCAGGTATAACAGCAGAGATCAAGTGAATGCCTAAAAGAGTATAATGGCAGTAGGAGTATACTTAAGAGGGAAGTCAGGAGGGCACAAAAGAGCCATGAGATAGCTTTGGCAAATAGGGTTAAGGAGAATCCAAAGAGTTTCTGCAAATATTTAAGGACAAAAGGGTAAGTAGGGAGAGAATAGGCTCCCATAAAGATCAGAAAGGCCACTTAAGTGTGGAACCACAGGACATGGGGGAGATACTATTTTGCACTAGTGCTTAATGTGGAGAAGGATATGGAAGATATAGAAAATGGGGAAATAAATATATAAGTAAACATCTTGAAAAAATGTCCATATTACAGAGGAGGAGGTGCTGGACATCTTAAAACACAAAAAGGTGGATAAATCTCCAGGATCTGATCAGGTGTACCCTAGAAATCTGTGGGAAGCCAGGGAAGTGATTGCTGGGCCGCTTGCTGAGATATTTGTATCATTGAGGTGCTGGAAGACTGGAACAAAAACAAAGTTGCTGGAAAAGCTCAGCAGGTCTGGCCAGCATCTGTGGAGGAGAAAACAGAGTTAACGTTTCAGGTCCGGTGATCGATGGTAGGCAAGTTGTTGGAGGGAAAGGCAAGGACTGATTAGGGATAGTCAACAGTGGCTTTCTGCATGTCCCACTATCTTAATTGAGCTTTTGAAATAACAAAGAGGATTGATGAGGGCGGAGTGGTGGACGTGATCTATATGGACTCCAGTAAGGTGTTCGACAAGGTTCCTCATGGTAGACTGGTTAGCAAGGTTAGATCACATGGAATACAAGGATAAGTAGCCATTTAGATATAGAAGCGGCTCGAAGGTGGAAGACAGAGGGTGGTGGTGGAGGATTGCTTTTCAGACTCGAGGCCTGTGACCAACGGTGTGCCATAAAAGTCGGCACTGGGTCCACTGCTTTTCGTCATTTATATAAATTATTTGGATGTGAACATGGGAGGTATGGTTAGAAAGTTTGCAGATCAGACCAAAATTGGAGGTATAGTGGACTGCGAAGAAGGTTACCTCAGAGTACAATGAAATCTTGATCAGATGGGTCAATGGGCTGAGGAGTGACAGATGGAGTTTAATTTACATAAATGTAACATACTGCATTTTGGAAAGGCAAATCAGGGCAGGAATTATACTCTTAATGGTAAGGTCCTGGGGAGTGTTGCTGAACAAAGAGACCTTGGAGCGCAAGTTCATAGTTCCTTGAAAATTGAGTCACAGGTAGATAGGATAGTGAAGAAAGCTTTTGGTATGCTTGTCTTTATTGGTCAGTGCACTGAGTATAGGAGTTGGGAGGACACATTGCAGCTGTAAGGATATTGGTTAAGGCCACTTTTGGAATACTGCGTGTAGTTCTGGCCTCCCTGTTGTCGGAGGGATGTTGTGGAACTTGAAAGGGTTCAGAAGACATTTACAAGGATGTTGCCAGGGTTGGAGGGTTTGAGGTATAGGGGGGAGAGGCTGAATAGGCTGGTGCTATTTTCCCGATAGTATTGGAGGCTGAGGGGTGACCTTACAGAGGTTTATAAAATCATGAGGGGCCTGGATGGGGAAATAGATAAGGTCTTTTCCCGGATGGGGGAGTCCAAAATTAGACAGTGTAGGTTTAAGATGAGAGGGGAAAGATTTAAATGAGACCTAAGATGCAACTTTTTCGCACAGGGGTTGGTGCATGTATGGAATGAGCTGCCAAAGGAAGTGGTAGTGGCTGGTACATTTACAAGGCATCTAGATGTATATATGATGAGGAAGGGTTTGGAGGGATATGGGCCAAATGCTGGCAAATGGAACTAGATTTATTTAGGATATCTGGTCGGCATGGACGACTTGGACTGAAAGGTCTGTTTCTGTGCAGTACATCTCTATGACAGTTTGAGGTAAATAGGACTTGTCACTTCTTGGAACAAATGATATTTACAAACATCTCCCGTGTTTGACATTCCTGCATTAATATGAGATCACTGATGCTTTGTATGTGAAATACATTTCAGTCTTGCTGAAGAAGCAGACAGACCAAGTTGGCCAGCATCGCTGACATGATACAATACTTTGTAAGGATTACAAATGAATTCTAAGTACAGAAGGGATTCCATATGCTCAATTTCCAGTCATGTATGACCGGGGCAGGAAATCACAAATGTCAACATCCAGTATTCTGGCAGCAATGATAATTCTACAACAGTCCATTGTGTCAGGTGCTTTTGAGCCACTCTGGCAAACCAGATGGTGGCAATAGGTGACATGACCTCCTTGCTAACCATCTGGCAAATAACTCTGGTGTACATATCAAGTACACATGGGCAACATGACAACAAAAATCATGGTACAGCACCAAATATTTTGGCGTAGACCATTGGGTATTTAAGAAATATTCCAACTACCTGGATCATTCTTTAGCATCTTTGCAATATTCATCAGAATATTTGTTATGATTTGTTGTGATCTGCTGTATGGTGCACAACCTCGCCAACTTTTGTCACTTGGTACATAGTGGGCAGTTGAGGGCAAGGCAACCAACACGTTCCCTTCTTTGTGGAACAAATGAAACCAAAGAACTACAGATATGGAAATCAGAAACAATAACTGGAGAAACTCAGCCTGGTGTTTAATGATGGAATCATGGTCTAGGGGTAGATAGGAGGACATCTCTGTTTTCATTTCTGGGAATAGGCTGGCCATCAATATCCACTACAAAACCACTGACTCCCACAATTACTTGGACAATACATCCTTGCACCTAGCTTCCTAGAAATATTACATTCCATTCTCCCAGTTTCTCCATTTCTGTCACATTTGTTCC